TCCTTTGCCATTCCCTATCACTCCTCCCTGAGAGAGACTTCACCCTGAGTCATAAGGAAAAGGGGATGGCGTATTCTCTTAACTACTTCCTGCTGAAAAGGGACGCTGTGTCATGTATTTTTTTTAATTTGGTGAAGGCAGTGATTTTTGTTATCTCTTAACATAAAATTTTTTAAATAAAACATGAATAATAGAATATTTTAAATTCAACCATTTTGCTTTATAGAACTTCTGAAAATTATTGTAGACATGTTCCTACCTCACATGAACCACCTGGCTTTGGAAAAGACTTTCTTTTCTCAAGTATTACCAAAGGTATGTTATTGTTATTTTAATCAATCGCATATCATAAAGGTTCTTTCAGTTTTAAATTCTTTTTAATTGTTGCTTTTTTATTGTATCAAATATATTTAAGTACAAAGAAATAATAAAAGATAGACCTCTTATATTAGGATGATCTTTAGGCAGTTAGCTGTTTTCAGATTGTATCTATACTAATAAAATTTAAATTATTTGTAGATAACATTAAGAAGTGTGATCTTGAGTTTTGAAGCTATTAAATTAAAATTTGGAGTTGAATGATGAAGTTAACCAAATTTCATGTTCTCTTTATAATTTATTAATGATTGTTGAGTTTCCTTGTTTGAGAAAGTGGGATTAATATTTATTAAATAAGTAAATATATTTATTTAAATAAATAAACTTAATACAATAATTTTAGCATAAAATAGGCAGGAATATTGGTCACATCAGGTGACGCAGAGAAAAACATTAAATCCACAGATAATTAATTTTTCAGGTTGCTATTAATATTTGTCATTGTGTATCTACATATATGTAAAATGCATTTTCACCAGAAAGCAGCTATACTCTGTTTTTTAAATTGGGCTAACTATAAGTATTTTGATACCAATATGAAATGTTTCTTTGTGATAACTTACCTCTTGTTTGAACACATTTCTGAGTTAATCATTAGAATTCCTTATACTTCTGTTCACTTGTTTATTCTGTATTGAAAAGTTTCTTGGAATTTATTTTGAACACTGTAAAAGGTAGAACATCTAGATAGTACAAGGATAAAACAAGGATGTGAAACATGAATAGGCCTATGGGAAAAGCTCTCTAATTATATTATGTTGTTGGGTGCCTTGTTATTTTTGCAGACCATTCAGCTTGTTAAAAAGATCTGAGTATTAAGATCTTAGGATAACTTTTTACAAAGAGAAACTTAGCTTTGAGACATTATATTGTACATACCTCTGTCTGTTGAGGGATGTTGTACTTGCAACCAGAAGGTTGATGTTTCAAATCCACTAGCATTCACTGGGAGAAAGGTAGTTGGTCTCCCACTCTTACCTATGAAGGATTATTCTTAATTGCTTGAAAAGGGAAACAAGTCATAAGTCATTATTACTCCAGAAAATGAGCTTACAAATGACCATTTGAATGTTGTTGTCATCTTTTATGGTGCACAGGGCAGTATTTACATTTCTTACAGCTTAAAAAATCCCTTTGATTTTTATAATAGAGATTATTAAATGAATTCAAATCATAGAAATGAAAAATCAGTTTCTTTCTGAGACTCCAGCTTTAAGAGATGTGTTATAAGAATACCTTATGTATTCTTAGATGCCATTGTTTAACTGAAAAGCCCATGTGGCACAGTGTGTGCTTCACCTTATCAGACTACTCATTGGATGGTCACTGGTTCAAATCCAACATTGATGGCAGTAGGTTTAGTTTAGGCTATTGTTAAATTGATAGTATACTGATAGATGTTACTGATGCAAACTCAAATCATCCTTTGTTTTGTTTAAAAATATGTCTTTGCTTTTTAGTGAATTCTACTCTCTATATAACTTGGTTTGTTTCAGACTGTGAAATTATTTGATGACATGATGTGTGAATTAACCAGTCAAGCAAAAGAACTGTCAAGCCAAAATTTAGAAATCCAGAGCACTCTAAGGAATATTTTACAAGTAAGTCATGTGTACTGAAAAAGAGAAGAGAAGGCACTTAAAAAATATAAGAATGTTTAATATTAATCAATCATGCATTCTTTATGCAGTGTCCTAACATTTGGATTTATAAAAATAAAGATGTGAAAATAGTACCAAATTTTGGGATATTTGGTATAATTTTTCTTGTGAAATCCACACAGCATCTAAACTCTTCAAGGAAGACAAGTAATTTAAGATTGGCTGTCCTACCTCTAATTTCATAGCATATGTGCAGAGCACCTACATGTGCTTTGATGTGTGGATTAGGATTCCCTCCTCCAACAACTAGCTGGCTGCTTGTTCTAGTTTGAGTAGTTTTGGTAGATGGAAGCTTTATGAAAGAAGAGTACCTGTTTTATTTGCTGCTGTGTAAATGTAGCACTCTACATAGTATCTGGCACCTTTTGGGTACACCAAAAAAATACATATATTCTGAAAGAACCTTTTCTTTTTTCCAGACAATGGTGCAGGTCTTAGGAACCCTTACAGGATGTGTTCAGCGTGTCTGTGCCACACAAGAGTCCATTGTTCTAGAAAATATTCATAGTCTCCCTTCTTCTGTCCTTCATGTAATCAAAAGTACATTTGCACATTGTAAGGTAAGTACATTTTAAAGTTTGCATGCAGTCAATCTCAGAGGCACATGGTTCGAATCCACCAGATCCTCTGCTGGAGAAAGTGGGGCAATCTCCTCCTGTACCAGTTAGATCCAATTTGATGGTACACACATGCACAAAAAATAAAAATCTAAAAAAAAAAAAAAGTTTGCATACATTGTCAATGGCCTGGAATCCATGTAAAACAATGTTTGTATATACAGTTGCATATACATTTTCACCAATATGTTTGCAATATATCCGTCCCATAAAACTATGAGCGTGTATGTAAATATTTGTTTTACATTAAGTAGTGATAGAAAGTAAAAAAGTAGAGCTTTGGGGCAGGAGGTTGGTAGGAAGTTGCTTTGGTTTTGGGACTATCTCATTTTTCCTCTATAAAGAAAGAAGGGGGAACTCCAGTTGCATAGTCTGTGGATCATTGCAATGCTGACTCAGAGGCTGAGCCTTTCGGTGGCTTGGATCCACCACAGCACCTCAGGAGAAAGTTGAGCAGTCTCTTCTGGTGCAATTTACAGCCTCTTGAAAAGCAGGTGTAAGATCAGCTATAAGTCGGTTTTCAACCAATGGCAGTGAATTACCAAGAAAGAAATAGGGATTTTTGTGAGTCTTAGGAATTGTGACATAATTTGTCGCATGACATTGTGAATCAAATGAGTTCTTTTTTTTTCAATTTTTTTTTATTTTATTTTATTATTTTTGTCTGAGTGTACCGTCAAATCAGATCTGACTGGTACAGGAGAAGATTGTCCCGCCTTCCCCGGCAGAGCATCTGGTGGATTCGAACCGTGTACCTCTGGGATTGTAGTTGCAGCTCCTTGCCACTAGGCCACCAGAGCTCCCCTTCAAATGAGTTCTTTAATAATCAGGTTCCTATGAAAAGACGTTTGTTATTACTTAGTCTATTTCTTCAAGACAAAGACTGTCATAGGATTGGTGAGGCAACCTAAGCTTAGATACTACTAATTGAGTGAAAAATTACTAGTTAATCCTTTTTTAGTGAGAGAGCGCTAAAATTAGGTCCTATATCTTGACCTCGTGTTGCTTAGCTCCCTTTTAGTTTGTGTATACAAGTTTATAAAAGCCAGAACCTTATTTTTTACATGCTTACCTCTCTTGCCATACATTTTTGTTGCTGATATGTGCTGTCATGTCAGAACCAACTCCTAGCTGACCCTCTAGTTGGTTTCCAGAGGCTATAAATATCACAGGAGGAGATTGCCCATCTTTCTTCTGTGAGGCATCTGGTGGATTTGAACAGCATGTCTTTGAGTTAACAGCATAGCTCCCTACCAATAGGCCCCTAGAACTCTTTTTTGTTATTGTTACATGCTATTGAGTCACCTGCAACTCAAAACAACCCTATGTCCAGCAGCTCTGAATCCTGCCCTGAGACAGTCTCACTAATTTTGACACAACAACCCCCATCTCCCCAGTTACTGTGATCTTCCTTTCCTGTGCTGTCCCTCCACCCTTCCAAGCATTAGTATTAAAGTAAATTTGATTCTTGAACTTTGAGTGACTTTTCTTTTTCTCTCATTTTTACATATTTGTGCTCAGAATAGTGAATCTATATACTCGGGGCAGTTGCACCTGGTTTCAGACCTTCTCCAGGCTCTTTTCAAGAAAGCCTATTCCCTTCAAAAGCAGCTAATGGAACTGCTGGATATGGTTTGCATGGACCCTTTAGTAAATAAGAATGATGATATTTTGAATATGGTAATAGGTGAGTGATGAAACTATGTACTTACTACATGTCTTTTAACCATTTCATTTTCTGAGGTAGTAGCTTCCATGTTTTTAAACCATAGTCTGTAGTAAGAAATACATTTTCTGTTGCTATCCAAAACATACATAATTGTCTTGCTTCTGTGTTTATGGTTGTTTCTTTTTCTCATATGTCTGGTACTTGGCAAAAGTATTGGCTTCCTATGGAGCCGTATCCACAATTGCCTGGTGGTAGAATTTCTAAGAGCAGTTAGCATACCCCAATGAACTTGACCTTTTCAAGCTTCTGCTTGCCTAACAATTGTTACCCTGTGGACTGAAGTAAGTGGAAAATGACTAACAAGAGTATGGGTACAAGAAGGGTGTCAGGGTAGCCATTTTTATAGCCTGCATTGGCAGAGTGAAAGTCTTACGTGAATACTATGCTAATAAGTTTTAATTTCTCTTATTTTCTTACCTTAGTAGTTTGTCATTTTTAGATTAGACTTGTATCTGTAGGGTATTTCAGTCTTTGTAAGGCACAGTATTCCACTCAACAATTTTTGTTTTACTTAGATCATGTGTTAGGTATAAACTAAAAAAGTTAAATTGCAATAACTTTTGAAGAGCTTAAATCAAAAGTGTGACACTTCATTTCAAAACAGTGTTAGCTATTTTCATTTTCATCAATTGACATATTTTAGTGAATATTTAGGAGTAAAACTCACCTTGTGTGTATATTTGAATGTTTTTAAAAAGTTCTGTTACCTTCTTTTACAGTTATTCATTCATTTCTGGATATCTGCTTGATTATTTCCAGTATAGACAGTGCTTTCCATGCCAATACTTGGAAGTTTATAATTAAGTAAGTTTAAAAAAATTTTTGTTTTCTGTATCTTATATTTTTACTTATTTATAAGTTTTCCTAGATTATATATTTTATATATGTGTTTGTAATGTTTAATGACACTACTCTCTGAAAATACAGACGTCTTACAAACAACTCAGGCCAAATTGGACTTCTTTACTCCACTGGAGGTATGGAGGTATCTATTTAGTTACCTGGTATTTCTGAAATAGCAGGTCAGTCTAGCTGTTAATCATTTATTAGCTTTTGTTTATCTGTCAATTATCTTATTTCTGGGATTATCTGGATTAATATTTAGGATTATAGCTGAATATAGTTTATGCAGGAGTCTTGAATGGGACTGCACATAAAAACATTTGGCTGCTAAAAACAAGTTGTCAGTTTTGTACCCACCAGCAGCTCCACAGGAAGAAGGTGTGGCAGTTAGCATATATAAAGAATTACAACCTTGAAAACCCTCTGGGCATTCTCTTCTGTCCTGCAGGGATGCTATGAGTTGGAATAATGCATTCATTTTATACTTCTGAGGTGTTCAAGTTTATTTCCATTTATAAAGTAATTTTAATTTTGTGAAACAGGAACTTTGTGAGTTAACTAAGAAGAATACTCAGCATTTGTCAGATTGTTGTTGTTATTAGATGCCATTGATTCACCTGCAACTCATAGTAACCCTATGTACAGTAGCTCTGAACTTTGCTTTACCTTGAGCCAGTCTCACTGTCTCTGACCTACTTACCCCGATTACCCCAATTATTCTGTTCATCCATCTCATCTGGCATCTTCCTCTCCTGTGGTATCTCTTTACCTTTCCAAGCATGATAGGACTTTGCAAGTCCTTCTCCAAAGACTGGTTCCTTCTGGCCACATGCCCAGAGTATGTGAGATAGAGCTTCAAAATCTTTGCCTCCAAGGAACAGCCTAGTTTCACCCTTTCCAAGATAAACTTATTTGTTTTCTTGGCAGTTTTCATACAATGTTCAATACTCTTCTCCAGTACCACAACTCAAAGGCATTGATTCTTTTGTCAATCCTAGTCACTATCCCCTAAGAATCTGATGTCATATTTATAGTTGTTAATGTTCCGGCGAGTCGCCTGCAACTCATAGCGAACCTATGTACAACAGCCCTAAACTCTGCTCTGTCCTGTGCCAGCCTCACTGTCTCAGACACACCCACCCCCATTACTCTATTCACTGAATCAATCCACCTCATAGAGGGTCTTCCCCCCCTGCCCTGTTCCTCCACCCTCCCAAGCATGAAGTCCCTCTCTGAGGACCAATTCCTCCTTTCAACATGTCCAAAGTATGTCAGATGAAGCTTGAACAGTCTTTGCCTCCAAGGAGCATTCTGGTTTAACCCGCTCTGGGACTAACTTGTTCATTCTCTTAGCTGTCCATGGTACATTCCATACTCTTCTCCAACACCACAGCTCAAAGGCATCAGTTCTCCTTCTATCATCCCTAGTCATTGTCCAGCTCTCTGATGCATAGCAATGGCAAAGACCATGCATGCATGCATACTTGCTCTGCATATGGATAAAGGGATGCAATCTTTACATGTGTGCATAAAACATTCAAGACCAGTTTTATACTCCCAGCTTTCAGGTGTTTTTCTGGGACCAGCAAGTCATTAGTAAGTTGTCAGCAAGTAATTTATTTTATGCTAGCTTTGTCTTCTCCAGCTTCCCTTTGAAATCTTCTGTTCAGCTCTTCATGTCTTTCGTTAGCTTCTGTTTAAAAGGTGTAAAATGAGACTTGGTTGCACAGGGTCATGAGCATGTCTCTGAAGGAGCCAGAGGGAGTGAGAATAGCACAGCCCCTCAGCATCCCACAGCAGAAAGCAGATAATGAGCTGGTAGCCCAGCCCCATGGTGCCTCTAGAGCCATACCAACAGCAAGAGGTTTGTGTATTCATTATTGACCCACAGACTCACAGTTATACTGCACATGGGATTTATTAGGGAAATAAGTTGGAGAGTGGGGAGGCAAAGAATATCTCACAGTACAAGTCCAAGTTTTAGCCTAACTTCCAAAACACACTCCTCCATTATTCCTGGCTCTGATTTCAAATCAGCAGTCATGTCCAAATCATCCAGCAAAGTTTGCCCCAAAGCAGTTATAACTCAGCTTCTCCTTCAAGTATGCTGCAAGAATAGCAAAAACCTTAAACAATGGCCAGTGCAAATGCAAGAAGACTCAGGTCATATCTTGTCACAGTTTCCCCACAGCAATGCTACAATCTCTCTACCACCAGGGTCTCACTCTCACCAAGGTCTTGCCACTGTACACCTCAAGTTTTGCTGCCCATTGTAGGAAGTACTCTTTCACTTATTCTAGTCTCACAGCTGTTGATTTGCAAGACAATGTGTCTGCAGTAAAGCTGGCCGGAGGAGACCAGAGGAGGCTAACTGTATTTGCTTTAAAAAAAAAAAAAAGCAGGCCACTTTTAGGCTAATACCGCACTTCTGTAGGTTGAAGACCAAGGTTCAGAGTCTTTTCTGACATCCATTTTGTTCTTATATTTTCTATCTTTTTAATGACCTTTGCTTTCTTAATGTTCAGTGTCCTTGATGTCATCCAACAACCCTGTTATTCACTCACAGGCATACATATAATATTCATGTCACAGCTCTTGTTTCTTTGAAATATAAACCCAGTTATGAGACTGATAGATCCAGTAACATTCCCAGCTCTCTAAGGAAGCACCAAACTGCTTTCCATAATGGCCGCACCGTTTTGCAATTTCACCAGCAGTGTATGAGATTCCAATCTTTCCATACTTTCCAGCATTTGTTACTTGCTATCTTATTGAACTTTGTTGCTGTTACAGGAATTTGATGATACATTATTTTGATTGGCATCCCTCTTAGAGCTAATTAACAGAGTTCTGGTGGTTTGGTGGGAAGGAGCTTTGCAGCCAATTCAAAGGCATGTGGTTCAAATGCACCACCTGCTACATGAGAGGAAAAATAGGCAGTCTCCTCTTGTGCAGTTTACTGCTTCTAACCAGTTGAGGGTCTGCTGTGAGTTAGTTCCAACTCGATAACACATAACAGTAGTTAATGATCTTGAACATTTCTTTATATGTTTGTTGACCATCTGAACGTCTGCTTTGGGGACATATCTTTTCATATCTTCTGCCCATTTTGTAATTAGGTTGTTCCTCTGGTTACAGTGCTGGAGATTTCTGTAATTTTTCGTACTCAGTCTCTTATCCAATAAGTCATTGCCAAGGAAAGTCTTTTAATCACATGTTGTTGTTATTGTTATGTGCCATCGAGTCACTTGCAACTCATAGCGACCCTATGTACAACAGCTCTAAACTCTGTTCTGTCCTATGCCAATGGCACTGTCTCTGACACTCTCATCCTGATTACCCCAGTCACTGAATCAATCCACCTCATAGAGGGCCTTCCCCTCCTGCGCCGTTCCTCCACCCTCCCAAGCATGATGTACCTCTCCAAGGACCTGTCCCTCCTTACAACATTTCCATAGTATGTGAGATGAAGCCCCAGGATCCTTGCCTCCAAGAAGCAGCCTAGTTTAACCCTTTCTAGGATGAACCTGTTAGTTTTCTTAGCAGTCCATGGTACCCTCAACACTATTCTCTAGCACCACAGCTCAAAGGCATCAATTCTCCTTCTATCCTCCTTGGTCATTGTCCAACTCTCTGATGCATAACAAGTGATAGCAAAGACCATGGCCCGTATCAGACACACCTTAGTCTCCAGAGAGACACCATTACTCTTCAGTACTTTGGAGAGGTCCCTAACAGCAGACTTTCTCATGGCAATATGTCTTTTAATTTCCTGGCTGCTGGTGCCAAGAGTGTTGATTGTGGAGCCAAGCAAACTAAAGCTGTGAACAATCTCAATCTCTTCACCATCCATCCTGATGCTGCCAGTTGGCCCAGTGGTGAGAATCTTTGTCTTCTTAACATTGAGCCTCAACCCATATTGGAGGCTGCAGTCCTTGACCCTCTGCAGCAAGCGCTTCAGGTCCTCCTCAGTTTCAGCAAGCAGGGTTGTGTCATCTGAATAATGCAGATTGTTGATAGATCGTCCACCAATCTTGACCTCACATTTCTCCTCATAGAGCCCAGCCTCTTGGATAATCTGTTCTGCATACAGGTTGGAAAGGTATGGAGATAGGACACATTCCTGGTGTACACCCTTCCCAATTTTGAACCATGTAGTGTTCCCTTGCTCTGTTCTGACAACTGCCTCCTGGTCCAAGTATAGGTTTTTCATTGGCACGATCAAGTGTTCTGGGATTCCCATTCTTCTGAGACTCAGCCACAGTTTATTATGATCCACGCAGTCAAATGCCTTTGCATAGTCAATGAAACAGATATACATTCCTCTGGTATTCTTTGCTTTCAGCTAAGATACATCTAACATAGCTATAATATCCCTAGTACCACGACCCCTTCTAAACCCAGCCTGGACTTCTGGCAGTTCTCTGCTGGTGTGTTATTCCAGTCATTTTTGGATAATCTTCAGTAGAATCTTGCTTGCATGTGAAATTGTTCTATAGTTTCCACACTCTGTTGGGTCACCTTTCTTTGGGATGGGAACAAATATTAGATCTCTTCCACTTAGTTATCCAGCTGGTTGATCTCAAGATTTCTTGGCACAACTTGGTGAGCACATCCAGGGCAGCATCTGTTAGCTGAAATATGTCAATTGGTATACCATCTATTCCTGGGGCCTTATTTTTTGCCATTTCCTTCAAAGCAGCCTGAGCTTCTTCTTTCATTACCATAGGCTCTTGCTCATATGTTGTTTCATGAAATTCTTCTGTGTCTGCCAATTCCTTTTGATACAGTGACTCAGTATATTCCTTCTGTCTTCTTTTAATACTTCCTGGATCATTTAATATTCTGCCTAAAGCATCCTTGATTATAGCAACTCGAGGTTTGAATTTGTTTTTCAGTTCCTTGAGCTTAAGAAATGCTGAGCGTGTTCAGCCCTTTTGATTTTCTGACTCTAACTCCTTGCACATTTCATCACACAGGAATTTAATTTTTAGGAGGATCCAGTCATCTACTTTATCATTTGTTGATTGTGTGTTTTCTATGAAATTTGTTTATCTCATAGATTAGGATCCCTAAGTTTGTCCCATTTCTTTTATGAACTTTATTGTTTTGGATTTTGTGCATAGGATCTTGATCCAAGAATATATTTTCTGGTCCAGTCCTCCTTCTGTTTGCAACTTTTGCGTTCTAATCGTCAGTTATGAATGTATTTTTATTGCATGTTCATTTAATTTCAGACTTTAAAAGTTTGTGGAAATTTTTCTATTTCTTCATCTTTTGCTTTAGGAGTTGGTGAGGAAATCTGAATATTAGTTGTATTAAGAGGACTTCTTCATATGCGTATGGATATTCAATCACTGACGGTATTTATTTCAGAATAAGCTTTGCAATGTTCTTTGTGATGATGAATGCAAATACAAGGCCAGTTTTAGTCTATTTCAGCTCACTAATCCTTAGGATTTTGATTTTTATATATTTATTTAATTTTTTTTTTACAACTTCCCGATTTTCTTAAATTCACATTTAATATATTTCATGTTCTGATTATTAGTGGATGGTTATTATGGTTTCTCCTCTAAGTTATGCCACATCAGCAAATCAGTCTTTTCTTGGCTGAAAGCTTTATTCCATTCACATCATTAAGGTACTTTGAGAAGGTAACTCTTCCCTAGTTGCATTTTGAATGCTTTCTAACTTGAGAACCCTGTCTTCTGGCACTATCAGACAGTGTTTCAGTGTTACTCATAAAAGTTCCAGTGATAGATTGTTTCAGAAATGGATGCCCAATCCCGTTTCTAGCCTGTCTTTGTCTGAAAACTCTTAGTAACCTGTCCACCTGGATGATCCTCCTGCTCTTTGAAATACCATTGACACAGAAACACAATACAGAATCCTGACCAAAAAACATTCTTGGCACAAAATGAATGCCATCATTGCTAGGGAAATATCTTCAGTTTCTGCTCCCTTCCAATTCATTTTTCAGCATTTGGAGTGATATTTTAAAAAAATGTAAATCATATTGTTATGCTACTGGGAAAATTTATCCCATTTTACTACGAAGTATAGCACTGTTACTCCTGTCCCCTCCCTTCCTCTCAAACCTGTCTCATGCTGCTGTTTCTGTTAAGTTCTTGTTCATGAACACACCAGTCACTCTTAGTTGCTAAAACTTACCAAACTCTCCAGGCTGTGAGCCTTCTTGTATCTGTCTGCTGTTGTTGTTGTTGTTATGTGCCATCAAGTCGCCTGTGACTCTATGTACAACAGCCCTAAACTCTGCCCTATCCTGTGCCAATCTCAGTGTCTCTGACACACCCACCCCTGTTACCCCAGTTAGTGAATCAATTCATCTCATCAAGGGTCTTCCTTTCCTGCGCTGTCCCTCCACCCTCCCAAGCATGAAGTCCCTCTCGAAGGACTGGTCCCTCCTTGCAACATGTTCAAAGTATGTCAGATGAAGCTCCAGAATCCTTGCCTCCAAGGAGCACAGGGGAAACCTTTTCCCTGTACTTTTTCAAATACTCCTTTTCCCTGCTATACACCTTGCTGACTGCTTATCTTTCCCTTCTTTCTTTAAATGTTACATCATCTTTTTAGCATATTTTGCTATCCTCAAAAGTTGGATGAGATCTTCCTGATATATATTCCTATAGTTTCCCCACACCATTCTTCTTTAACATTTGTCACAATGTAATGAATGAATGATTCTTGTTATTTAGTTGACCTCTATACTTGACCACCAACTCTTTCCATACAGAGCAATGGTTTTGTCTGTTTAACTGTCCTCTATCTTCAAGACTATCAGAGTTCCTAGCACATAGTTGTTCTTGTTGTTTGATGTCATCGAGTCGTAGACGACTCATAGCGACCCTATGAATGAACGGCCTGAGTACTGTTCGTACATAGTTTCCGGAGGCAAGCCTTTCGGAAGTGGATGCTGCTTCCTGCTTCCAGAGCACATAGTAAGAATTCAATTAATATTTTAAAAGGAGAGAAAAAAATTAGCAACTTACTCCAACAAAGCTGCTTCAAGGTAAAGGTGAAATATGTTAATTACACCATCTGTTAAATGGGGTGTGTGGGTGTATGAGTGTTTTAATTTATTGTATTTTTATGGGCCTAAATTCTTGATATGTTATTTATGGTCAATGTATTCTTTTTATTTACTTAGGCAGAGCCTTAAGCACCAGTCGCTTCTAAAAAACCATTTGAAACACAAAGATATAATTACGAGCTTGTGTGAAGATATTATCTGCTCCTTCCATTCTTGCTTACAGCTAGCTGAGCAGATGGCACAGTCAGACATACAGGTAAAATACCTTCTTCCAAGCAATTGAAAGCATTCTCTCTTCTTTTGGTTGGTGGTCACAAAATCTCCTTTGAATCTGTTGATTAACTTACTTTAAAATGTTTTAGTTTGGTTTTTGTCTTAACACATTAAAATGAACTCATTTGCAGACATAGTTACTTTGCGTCTGGAGCATTGGATAGACTCCTTCCTAGCTGCCTGTAGTGTGTCTTGTGCTTGCTGCTCAGCCAGTCTCCTCAGAGCCCTTAGTTCTTTCTTTGCTTCAGATGAAAAAGATCGAACTCTTTAGAGATGTATTTGTTTTTGGCCTAGCCATGTGGATCTGTCTTTTCTATACCAATTCATTCTATAGTAACACAGTATAAAAGTGTGTACATATTATGACCAGTATGAATCAGTCTTCTAAAACTAGTGTATATTTACCTTGTGTTTTTATTTCAGAAAGTTAAATATAATCTTTTTCACCTCATTTATGAAACAGATTGTGTTGTGAATGTTCACCTGTGATATTATTGGGGATTATAGCCTGTTTTCCTATAACCATATTATGCATAGTGCTTTTGCTCTTGGACTAGCCTTCTGAATTTTTTTTTAACTCAATAATTGCCCTAAATTAATTCTACTCAAGACTCAATAGTTATATAAATTTTAACGAGACAGTGATCTGAATATTTCTTTCTGGAATAACAGTAGCTCGTCCCTCCTATTGCAGACCTGCAAACTGTGTAGGGAATTCCCTTGTTTCTGCTTGCTTCCCTGCCAGCTAGCCTGGAACTGGAGATGTAAGGATTCATCTGCTCCTTAAATATTACTAACAAGCAACTCCTGGAGTAGGGATGTTGTGTAAAAACAGACACTCAAGGAAGGTAGAACCTTAAGGTAGTGAGAGAGAAGTTGATTGAAAATGAGGTTAAATGTTTTCTTTTTATCCTTTATGTCCTGCCCTTATATTCCTTTTCCTTTTTATTTTTCATTTACAATTTTTCATATTGTTATTAGGTGCTGTCGAGTCGTAGGCGACTGACTAATAGCGACCCTATAAACAAAAGACCTGGACACTTGTATAACTTTCATCCTTTCTCCAGGTTCATAGGGTTTCTGGAGGCAAGCTCTTTCAGAAGTAGATGCCACTCCTGCTTCCAAGCTTGTTTTAATTGGGGAGCTCCACCAAACACTGTCCATTATGTCCATAATGGGTAACCATTACCGCATTTGACACATCAGTGTCACAGTCTTCAGCTTCACAGCAACCACAAGTTACCTCTGTACAGCAAATGGACAGACCAGGGCTATTGTTGTTGTTGTTATGTGCCATCAAGTCGTTTGCAACTCATAGCGACCCTATGCACAACAGCCCTAAACCCTGCTCTATCCTGTGCCAATTGCACTGCCTCCGACACACCCATCCCGATTACCCCAGTCACCGAATCAATATTTCCATACTTGAAAGTTCTACCTAGGTTGCCCTTTCTGTTACTCTGCGTGTGTTCGGTTGTGCATAGGGTTTTCAGAGGCCTGCTATTTCAGAAGTGGGTGGCCAATCCTTCTTCCTAGTCTGTCTTAATCTGAATGTTCAGATTTAGAGGAGTATCTGACAGACAAGCAATTTGTGGAGCAGTAGGACCTAAAAAAATGTTTGACCCAAAACAATTAAAACTACACTCAAGAACCTACAGTATTTTACAATTCTAGCATGCCCATATGATGGCAGACTCTGGGCCAGAGACCCCCAATTCATCTGTCACGTACCCTCTGCCAACACCCACTTGGGGTGAAAATAAAGCCAATAAGAGCCCCGAGCGTTCCATACATGTCCCTCCTCAAGACATGAGAGGCCATCCTAGAGTCCAGCTTGAACTGAGATTCACAACACAGTAGCCCTCAGCCTGCAAACAATTTTTTTATATACTTCTCAAATTCTCCTGACCTTGATGTAAAGAGAGTTAAATTTGGTTGAGTGTTGCTGTGACAATAGAAAATGTTCCCCTGTTCTCCACTTCAATCCTACATAGTCCTGTATCCAGCATTATCTTTATTTTTTCCCTGTTTTTTTTCTTGCTTGTCTTGACACCAAAGTCCCTCCAGCTAGTACTTGAAGACTAAGATTGAAGAGGAAAGAGATGGGGAAAGCCCAAATAACAGTAGTTTGTAGTGGCAAGAGAGAAAAATTCTAGGGTGCCTCACCAGGGAAACTCTTTGTGCACAAAGTTTATAAATTCAGTTTATCCTGAAACCCACAGCGTCCCTTTTCAGCAGGAAGTAGCTAAGAGAATA